TGTGTTTAGAGTATAATCAGCTGTTGTTTCAATTCTTTCATTCAATAGCATTCCCTTATTCATCTCATTTGTTTGTACGTTCGTGTTAATTGTGTTTAATTCATTGTTTCTATTTTGTTGTTGCCTGTATTATGTGGTTAGCTCAGTATAAGTGGTTTTTGGTGTTTTTTGAGTTTCTTTCACAATGTTTAAGTTTTGTGTTTCTTTCACAACGTTTGCGAAAGAAGATGACGGATTTAAAGGAGGGATTGGTGACTTTTGTATTTTTATTGCTTCACGGATGGAGCACTTGTTGTCTGTTTGAATGGTAATTATTTGTTTCATTTGCTCGTAATTTGGGCAAGACTTACTGGAAGCGGTGTGCTTACCTGAGCAGTTAGCACAGAAAACACGAAGACAGGGTTTGGGGGAGTGCGGTGGGTCTGCGCACATGTCACAAGCAGGGGTTTTATGACAACGCTTAGTTGAGTGGCCTAGCAACTGACAGTATCTGCACCTCATGGGATTTGGGTAATATTTTTGTAGTATACCATGAAATGTCAATTTTCTCAGGTAAGTGGTATAAATCAAAAGTTAATAGTACAACTCCACTGGGTGTTTGCTTACCGTCAACAGTTGTTGTGGATTTATGTACTGATGTGACACCTTGTTCCTTGAGATTGTCAATTATTTCCTTTTCTTCCACATAATTTAAGCACGGTGCGTAAATTGTTCCATTTGAGGTATTTAGGTTTTTGTGAAGCTCAATTTTTACGTCGCAAACTCCAATGAGTTTTTTTGTTGCTAAGAATTTATTAGAATGATGAACCACAAGGGAGAAAAAAGTCACTGAGATCGCTGAGAAGCACTACCGTAATTGTCGAGTAGCAGTCGATGACAGGGATATAATATTGAAAAAAATGGAACATATTGGTATAGATCGAAAGCAACAAACACACAACTAAATGTGACAACAAATAAGTCTATGATCATATCTAGGGCAGTCAACGTTGACAACGTTAAAAATCAGGTATCAATTAATAATAATAATAATAGATTGGCGCTTACACATATGTTAGTGTTTGGCCGAGCATCTACTCCGATTTGTGGCGTGCGCCTTGATGATGTCACACAAAGGGGAGGGACCTAGAGTTTTACGCCGACTCTGAACGACGATTGCATTTTTCTGAGAAGCGACCGCTGTAAAGAAAAAACCTTTTTTCTATATTTTTTTTGCGATGTTGCTTTGACCAGGGCTTGAACCCAGGTGATACATATTTGTAGCGCGCGGGATGTGTTAATAGAAGAAGTAAACATCATTAAGTATCTAGGTATAATCATCGACAATAAGTTAAAATTTGAGGAGCACGTTGAATACACAGTAAATAAAATTTCGAAAAAAATGGTCTTATGAAAAGATCTTGTAAGTATGTAAGAAGGAGGTATAAAGCCGTAGTCTACAGATCTATAGTTGAACCGCACTGCATATATTGTCCAATGGGGTATAGTCGTTGCGCTGGGTATGCAGTTACAATTGCATGGCTATACTCAATCCCGACTCTTGCGTCCTCGTTCGCGCACTTTGAGCAACGTGAGCAACCCATGTGCGAAATGCGGNGCACTCTGGGCAACGTGAGCAACCCATGTGCGAAATGCGGTAACCAATCCGAGTGGAGCCTTGGGTCACGGCAGAAAGAGAGGGAGCTTCGGTGGGTCCACTCCTACTTATTCGGTTTAAGGATTCACTGAAGTCCGCAGCGTCTGTTATCCTGTAGGTGCGGCTGCAATCGGGTGTCTGCTTGGAGCAAGCGGCTCGGTATATACTCGTATATTTCGTTGCAAAACCACCCCCGTCCCAGCAATGGGTTGTGCGCTGGGTTTGGGAGCGGCCACGTAAAAGCCACTTCCAGTGAATAAGCAAGGCAAAGCCTCGGATAAGACCCCCCCTTATGATGACGACCACGGCAAACGTTTAAAGGACCACGATTTGAGGGCATGCACCTGGAATGTCCGGACCCTTAATGGGGAAGGTGCCTCTGCTCGGCTGGTTGATATCCTCGTAAGGACAAAAGCTGACATCACCGCCATCCAAGAAATGCGTTGGACGGGGCAAGGCAAACAATGTCTGGGGCCTTGCGACGTCTACTACAGCTGCCATGTAAAGGAGCGCAAATTCGGAGTTGGATTTGTGGTGGGAGAGAGACTCCGTCGCCGAGTACTGTCGTTCACCCCGGTGGACGAGCGTCTAGCCACAATCCGCATCAAAGCGAGATTCTTCAACATCTCGCTCATCTGCGCCCATGCCCCGACGGAAGAGAAGGATGAGGCATCCAAGGATCTCTTCTATGAGCGCTTGGAGCGCACGTACGAGCGCTGCCCCCGTCATGATATCAAAATCGTGCTTGGCGACTTCAATGCCAGGGTGGGCAAAGAAGGGATCTTTGGAACCACCGTCGGAAAATTCAGCCTCCACGACGAAACGTCCGACAACGGATTGAGGCTGATCGACTTCGCCGGGGCCCGAAACATGGTAGTATGCAGTACTAGGTTCAAGCATAAAATATCCATCAAGCTACGTACCTGTCTCCGGATCGCAAAACGAGAAACCAAATCGATCATGTTGTAATAGACGGAAGGCACGCTTCCAGTTCTTGATACGTACGCACATTCAGAAGCCCAAACATCTACTCGGAGCACTATCTTGTTGCAGCCAAGATACGCACCCGCCTCTGTGCAGAAAAATGTGTGCCCAAACATGCAAGGAAAGCTTAACGTCGAGAAGCTGCAATCACAACAGACAGCCAGCGCTTTCGCTACTCGCCTCTCACACCTGCTCTCAGAGAGCACTCTTCAACAAACTGACATATGCGAGCAGTGGAACCACATTTTCCGCTCATTAATTACCGCCGCCGGAGAAGTAGTCGAATTTCAGCGAGCCCAAAAGAACAACTGGTACGATGAGGAGTGTCAGGATGCTGAAAAGAAAAAGATGCCGCCTACAGAGATACGCTGCGATCGGGCGCAACGCGCGCTATGTGGGACCGCTATAGAGATTTGAAGAAGGAAGCGAGACGTATTTGCCGCAATAAGAAGAGAGAGGCCGAAATACGTGAGTGCGAAGATCTTGAAATGCTGGCCGACAGGAAGAATGCCCGAAAATTTTACCAGAGAGTTGGGCGACTTACAGAAGGCTTCAAGAGCGGGGCGTACTCCTGTAAGAACAATAATGGCGACCTAGTAACTGATATCCAGAGCGGAGGGAACACTTTTCCACCCTGCTATATGGTCGATGATGACGGAGTCGACGTTCCACCGCCTGACTATGACGAGGTACGTATAGCAATAACGCGGCTGAAAAACAACAAAGCCGCTGGAGCTGACAGCCTGCCAGCTGAGCTATTCAAGTACGGCGGCGAGGAGTTGATAAGGTGCATGCATCAACTCTTGTGCAGAATATGGTCAGATGAACGCATGCCCGACGACTGGAATTTAAG